TTATGCCCCGTTCTGCGGCCTGTGGGCCCGCGACCGCCTCGAGCCTGACGCTGAGGGCTCAATAAATAAAATCTCGCACGTGGTACAATACACTAGAGCAAGATAGAGGAAGGACAGATACAAAGACAATGATTTTTTAAAGCATCACCGCGAACCGTAGCGAAGTAAGTTGGCCGAAGATCGGGCCTCAAAAGAGCTAAGTCCCGAAGGGTGGGCCTTGTGCCTTTTGCCTTATGCTTTGTGTATTTAATACACAGGAGATAAAGTGCGTAGGCGCGAACCACGGGAAGACACCAAGTGTTGAGACTGTATCGCAGAAGTCACCGGGACTCGAACCGGCGCATTTGAGAATGCCTTCGGGGCCTTATGCCGTCCGTCATTCTGTCCGCCTGTTCATATTTCGTATTTCGTAGACTATGGATATTGTATTAGTATTTCATATATGTATTTATACTTATTTTATCCGTAGCTTTCCATCCTGTCTATACTCCAGCACCTACGCAAACCTCTAAATTGGGCCTACTAGGATTACTATTAACTAGCTGTGGTCTAGTACTTTGATTAAGTTTGAAAACAAGCAAAATTAAGAACACGGAAATAAATTTTCTTCAAAGTCAATATACGAATTTTTACGATTTAATATCGTAATTTTTAAAATAGAAAATTATCAAAGTGAAAATATTGAAAATTTGGTCTTGGATTACAACTCGACAATTGTAATTTTTTCTGATAATTTTTATTCCGTTTGTTATATAATCTAGGAAGCTGCTTTACTATTTATTTACAACAGCAATTCTTTTTAAAGTTTATTATCTGAGTAAAACTTACCAGAGTTATTCCAATAAAATAAAAAAAAAACGCCATTCGGCCACACCCGAAATGGAAGGTAGATTTCACTGATTGAAATTCTTGATAGAATGACGTACATAAGTCGGTTGTACTACTCATTGCCTGAAAATGGTTTAGTTGCACTCTTAACTTTGATAAAATAACTAAAAATGGTCAAAATGTCAATGCTATATACGTCAAATTAACGGTAATTTCATGAGCTATCACATAAATTTTTCAAAAATTAGCTATCTCTGTTCAATCAAAAGTTATACATCAATGAAGTGGCCAAAAACGTGATTTTCACTATTTTGAAAATTTTAAATGGTCGCCATTTCCAAAATAATTGACGAATTTCGCTCATTTTAGGGCTCATGCAAGCTTATTGTCCAAAAAATCTAAATATACTAAATTTCGTTAGGATCTGTTAAGAATTCTCGATAATATAACATTCATAAGTCGGTTGTACTACACATTGCCTGAAAATGGTTCAGTTGCACTCTTAACTTTGATAAAATAACTAAAAACGGTCAAAATGTCAATGCTATATACGTCAAATTAACGGTAATTTCATGAGCTATCACATAAATTTTTCAAAAATTAGCTATCCCTGTTCAATCAAAAGTTATACATTCTTAGTGCAACCTTATTATCAATTAAATATTATTATTTTTTAATGTTATTTTACTTTACATTTCATATGGCATAATAGCTATAGTAAAATAAATTAAAAATGTCATTAATATACATTCTTACTAATAATATTTGATTTATACAAATGATACTTTATTTTTAGTATTGAAATAAAATAAATAATAAATATTAATCTAATTAATTTTTTTTTAAGTTTATTATTTTTTATCGGTATACACTACAATAAAAAATAATGAAACTTTTCTTTATTTTTCTAATATTGTATTTGTGAATAATCTTTTAAAAATTGTAATTAGATCAGAAATTGCGGAACGTCCCACGATTACTATGATTTTAAAAAAAAATTTCATTCTTTATTGATTTTTTCAGAACTAACTTCGAATTTAGGACTCAGGGTCTAAATTTTAGGGCCAGCGAGATATTAATATTACCTTCAGATTTAGAAAGTTTGTAATCCTCCAATAGATATTTTGAAATCGAGTTTTAAGGCCCAAATTAAAAATATTTCTTTGCTACAGGTTTCAAAATTAAAACTTAAGGCCCAAATTTTGAGGCTTGGGACCTCGGTTTTTGGGCCCAGTGATATATTAATAACAATATCAGATTTTTTTTTAGTATATTTTCATTCAGGCTCCGAAAGTGGGCCTCAGGTTCCTAATTTTGGGACTTAGGACCCCTTATTAGAGCCTACTAAATTTTGCCGTTATTTAAGTCCTTAAATAATGTATAAATTAATTTTACTTTGATCGTTATTCTCTAATTCTAACATTGACAAAAAGGGCCTTAAGGCCCAATTCACCTTCCAATCAAAGTACCTAAATAAATTGACCCAAGAAAGTCCGAAACACTGAAACAGGAATTCAATGACATCTGTAAATTAAAGCTCATATAAATTAAAGTTTGTCGTTGGGCCTGAAGTGTACCTCAGAGAAAACAGAACCGGTGGATGTTGCGGGTGGGCCTGCTCTCCACGAGCCAGCAGAACATGAACGTGAGAGCATCCCCGATCGTATATCGGCAAGTACAACTTCGTTTGCTGAGTATGGAGACGTTACATATCGGGCCCGCGTGAGACCTCACACTCTCTTACATCTTACATCTTACATGTGACTCTCTACTCGGGCGTGTAAACGCCGGCCGCCCTTCTGCCTTCTTCCTTCTTCTTTCTATTTGTGTCCCGAACACGCTCACCCGTGTATCGTGTACCAAAGCGCCGATCCGCAATAAGGCCCAATATACTGTATGCTATATACTGCTAAGCGTTAACTCGTATATCGTCCTTATACCACATTGCAGAGATAAAAAAAATTTATCTCCAATGCTCGAGCTTTATTTTTTTTTTTTTTTTTTTTTTTTTTTTTATATTTCGACCAGCAAGATCGGGAATGAAAAAAAAAAAAACACTTATCACCAAAAATAATTTCCAAGAATCCAGTGAAAATATTTCTCCCAAATCGATCCAGCGATGTTCGCAAAAAAACGTAACGCGCCCACGCTCTCAAGCAGTTGCCTTGTTTCAGCTGCTTTATTTCCATTCCACGATGTTGTTTCTTACTTGAGGTGTTTGTCTAACCAGAAAAAAAGCAAAACACTTTCCCGCGAATAATTTATCAGAATAGTCGAAAAAGTCTGAGGAAAAATACCGGATTTTTATGTAGAAAAAAAAAAAAAAAAAAAAAAAAAAATCTGGACCCGACAGTAAGGCAAGAGTGTCCTGACTGGGATCGAAAAAAATAAAACAAAATAGTGATGAAGGAGGACATGCGCATGCAGATCACGTCGTTGTAGCGAGTGATACCGTATCTGTGGGCGGCGCGTGCGTGTGGTCCTCGTTGTCGTCTTACAACCGCGAGAGAGTAAGAGTATTTAAATATAAACTCAACAAAGAGACGAAAAGAGTTCCCCCGCTACGGCAGTGTTTCAGTCTAGCAGTCCGAGAGTGGGCCCGTTCCCCCACCCAGGTCGCTCATCCCATTATTTTTTGCCGTGCTAATCCGAAGAATGTTTTCTATAATGTTAACGCGTCCACACCTTCTTTAAATGGGCATAAGGCCCATTCTACAGCTCTTCAATCAACAGAATTTACTTGTTTTATTTAAAAATTAGCCTTGTGGTTTTTTACACGGTAATTATTGATTTACGTTTTTGAGGGGATTTCTGATAACGATGGGCTTGTAACTGCGGAAGCGTGATGACGCAATCTTGATAATTTAGGTGTTTTTTATGGTAATTTTTGAAAGTTTGTTTTGGGACTTATTGCTGAAATTGGGACTTAAGGCTCAAAATCGTTTTGTGGATTTTAGTTTTTTTATAATAAAATACGTAGATTTTTTCGTATAATAAAATTTGGGACTTATTGGGCCTTAAGTCCCAAAATCGATTTTTTAACGTCATATTTAGATTGTGGTATTCATCGTTAGAGTAGAACAATTTGTACTGCAAAGTATTCGAGTACAATTAGGCTTTAAGGCCCAAACATGATCCGGATTAAATTTTAGATGGGGGACTTAATTATGCGAAATTTTAAGCTCTCAAAGAATAAGCGAACAAATTTAAATTTTACGATTAAATCCAAATATATATACTAAATAGATATTGGAATTAAAATTGGGACTTATGATAGGCGGGTCCTAAATTTCTTGCGAGTCAAATTTGAACTTATGAAAATTTTAAATTTTAACTTGTAAAATTTTAATTGTGACCTCTGGTTTGGTGTAATGTAATTTTATGACCCAAAAATTAAAATTATAGCCCAGCAAAAGTTAAAATGGGCCTTAAGACCCAAAAAATTTAATTCTATAAATTCGTAAGCAAAGTCAAGTTCTAGAAAATGTCTGGACGTTTGAACTGAACTTGGTGCCAGACTTTACTGAGTCTGTAGATTTAGGCACAACAAAATTTTGGGACCTAAGGCCCAAAATGAAAATTTGAGACCTAATGCCCAAAATAAAAAAATCAAAACATTAAAATCCAACAAAGACAACTGATGTTGAATAAAAAAGTATAATGTTAGGGCCACGTGGAGCAGGCCCATGGTCCCGTAACTTTAGACGAGCGAAATCGAGTTGATGTCCCTGAGTTGCACCTGGCGGTGGTTTAGCTTTGAAACACGAGCCACCTTTTTCTTCATCTCGATCTCCAGCTATGTTTTTTTTTCCTACCTTTATCTGGTACTTGTTCAGTCACACGGGTGAAACCGGTGTAGTCACGATACCCGGGCCCAATTAATAAGTTAGAAGGCCCCTTAATTATCGCTATTGTTCCGAGAAGCGATGACGTTAAATAAACATCCACCGTTAATAAATTTTCATATACAAATTGATAAGCAAACAATCGTGTTAAAGCAATAAAATAATAATAATAATAATAAATTTATTTAAGTATTATACATAATGATAAATCGTAACTAAATATACAAGGATTATATGAGCGTGTGATCAATTTTGAGGATCGTCGACGCAGAGATCACAGTAAGTCTTACTATATCAACAAGCAATATTAGTGACAATGACACATCACTAGGAAGTCTCCTGGAGGACGGAGCTGGGCCCGAGGCCCAAATTGTGGGTCAGCGAGTGCCTGCGGAGGTCGCAGTTTCTTCGGAAAACTTTTCCGCAGGAGGCGCAGTGATACGGTTTTATGTCCGTATGGGTCAATAAGTGCGTCTTCAAGTTGCTGCGCTGATTGAAACTGCGCGCGCAGACCGGGCACTTGTGGGGCGACTCCTCCATGTGGAGAATCTTGTGCACCGCAAGGGTACGGCTTTGGCAGAATCCTTTTCCGCATTCTGCGCACTTGAAAGGCTTCTCTTTGCTGTGAATATACCTGCAACAAAATAACTTATTATTATTATTGTTATTATTATTATTATCATTACTATAATGCATGGTGAATGGGCTCGGGCTAATGACATTAAGAATGCAGGAAATAGAAACTTTAGCTAACGAGTCGATTCGATACGGCTCGTAAAAACCCGATTCATTGTTTTTATTCTTAAGAACCAGCCTTTTCAATTACAGCCTCCAAGGTTTTTTTTTAATTTCTTATAGAAAGTTTTTTTTTGTTTTATCAATTGTTAGCTACACCATTGAATGCCTTAATTTCGACATTTGTCAAAGTAAAGGCATTCAATTATTTTGACTGAGGTTTTTTGTGAACTAATTGTGAGAAAAAAAATTTTTTTGTGTCAAATGTATTGAAAATTTCTTTTTTTTTTTTTTGGAAATTTTTATAAAAGTAGAAATCCTTGCACATAAAATAAAAAAATGTAAATTTTTTTTTCTTAAATAAAATTTAATAAATATATTTTTGAATTTTAAAACGAAGGGGCTGGAAAAATGTTAATTTTAATTGATAGAAAAAAATTTTTATTGTATAAAATTTTGTAATAAAAAAAATTAATGAATTTGAAAAGGAAATTTGTTAGATAGATTTTTTTGCTTTCATAAAAATTTTTTTTGAAAAAAAATATAAAGAGGACGTAAACACTAAGTAAATATAACTAGTTAAAAAAAAACACAATGTAAAAAGTTAAAAAGTTACCTGTGGTCCCTGAGGTGATCTTGCCGTCGGAAAGCCTTTCCACAAATATCACAGGAGTACGGTCTCTCATCAGTATGAGTCCTTTCGTGAATCAACAAATTATAACTTTTCGTAAACTGCCTACTGCAAAATTTACAAATAAACTGTTTCTTGGGCCTGGAAGAGCGACAACTCCTGGGTATGTTGGAGTCGCTCGTAGAAGTAGCAGCCACCGAGGAAGAAATCGCCGAATTCGGAGACTGCGGAACTTTGGGGAGCGATTGAGAAGTTTCGGCGATTCGCTGCAGCAAGATGTCCTGGTTCATGGAAGAGTCCAAATTTTCTCGGAAAACCTCGTCCTCTTCCAACAAGGCCAGGTCATCGGGGTCTGCTACAAAGTCCAGGTGGGACACTTCATCATCATCAAGATTTGTCGATTGCAGAGCTTCTAGCTCAACTTTTCCTGATGTAGATGTCGAAGTTGATGTTGATGTTGACGAGGTTGATGTTGAAGTCGACGTAGCTGACAATGATGGCTGTGGAAGACGTGATTGTGTTGATGAATAGCTTGGAACAGTTGCCGAAGTAACCTGGAGTCTGTGGAGCGTCAAGTATGTCTCAAAAGCCTGGAGATTGAGGGCTGCTGCAACAGCACCTGGAGGAAACAAAGCTGCTCTTTGCAAGGTTGCCAACAAAGCACTCTGCAAGGACAGCGTGACGTTTTGAAGCGCAAAATTCGGCAAGGCCGACTCTAGTCCTTCGGTGGAGGATTCGGCCTCGCGCAAATCGGTCCCCGGATTCTGCGCTTCCTTGTTTTGCTGCATTCTCACCAGTTTGTGTCTCATAAGTCCCAACTTTGTCACCAATTTCAAAAATAATGATGGATCAATTGCTTGAAGGTAACAAGACACTTCACTATGAAAGTATTAACGGACGAAGATTTATCACAGTTAAAAATTCACAGCAATAAAATATGAATCACGTGGCCTCTAAGATAAACGGCAGCATTTTAGCAAACTGACGGAGAGCAACAATGAATTTAGTTGTACAGAAATGGACAGAAATATTGTAGGTGCTCGCGGTGCGAAAGCGCCCTGACAACTGCACGAGCACCTCGCTGCTGGGCACTGCTGGTGGAGCCATCTGCCGGGCGTTTCGAGAGAACTAAAAACTCGAATAGAAGATTTTAATGTACGAGTTGAATAGTTGAGCGTGAGCTGTTTTACAACTGGGACTTGGCGAGAGAGAGGGAGACTGTAAGAGCAAGAGGGAGGGAGACGGCCACGGGACCCCGACAGCTGGTATGGGCCTTACTCGGATTCACAGCCTGGCAACACGCGTTTCATATAATATCTCTGGTTGCCGTTGCTGTTATTATGCTTATGCTTATGCTTGTGCTTGTGCTGAGAGAGAATGAGTATTGGTGAATGCGGGGGAGGCTCAGTTGAGACCCGAGAGGCATATTCCATAAGCGTGCGGTTCTATCACGCGAGCGACGTCCACTTAAACAATGCAACGGGCCCACATGCCAAGATCAGGCCCACCAGTCCATCAGTATTTTATTCCATGTGGATTTATGGCTCTACTAATCTAATGTCGACGTCAATTAACTGGCTGACATTGGGAGTTATGTAATCGGGCCCCGTGGGGCTAAGGGTTATAAATAGATTGCTAGAAAATTGTCCGGGTCCATGTTTATTGAGGTCCATTATTGGTGTCATTAGGACTATTTTTTTATTTTTGAACGTTTTGGGAGTTTTTGGGGTAAAAAAATGAAAAAATTTGTAATAAGGCCCCAAAATAAATACACAAGGCCCAGAATTAAGGTTATAAGGCCCATTTTCTAGTATTAAGAATGATTTATGATATTTTAAGTATTAAAATATCTTGGTGTTGATAACTTTTATTACGGGGCTTATAAGACCCATTGTAGGGATAATAAGGCCCTAAATATTGAATAGTTAGATCAACAGGTGTAAAATATTTCAGAACTAATAAATGACTTAGATATTTAGGGCTGACAAGACCCAAATGAAAGCCAATTTTTTAAAAATGTATCTCTAGAAAAAAATTGTATTTTATGCAATAAAATATTTATGCTTACAATGCCAACTATAGAGCCTGTTACATTCACAACAAGGCCCAAAATCTGGAGTTAAGGACAGTCTAGCTGATTTTTATTTTTATTGTTGAATAAAAGGCAATAAAGCCTAATTTTATTTAAAATAAATATTAATATTTGTTGCAAGGAAAATAAACAAAATCTATGACAAGGCCCATAATAAAGACACATAAGGCCCAAATTTAAATTTTATTTGACATATTTAGCATTGATCGAAATTATGATATATTGGGTCATAAGCTTTCTTGATCTTGATAAGCTTTATTGTAGATCCCATAAGGCCCAACATAATATAAAATAATAAGGCCTTAGATAACTCTAAAAATATATAAATGAACAAAAGTTAATAGAAAATGTTACAGATCAAACTGATGAGGATTGCTGGCAATGACCGGTCTTCTATTGTTAAGTGTGGGCCCGTAAGGCCCCTTCTCGGGTTAAAGGGACCGTGGATGAGTACATACAGCAAAAGCCGCAACAATTTACGACGGCAATTAATGCTTACGAGTAAGACCGTGTATTGCGCCCATGGGCCCAGAATAGTGGTGCTCATCTCGGGGCCAGCTTGAGTGGGGATCAGTTGTTGCTGTTGTTATTGTTATTGTGGTGGTTGTTGTAAGCATGAAAAAAAAGCTGAGAGTAGAGAGAGACGTACTCAAGGAGAGTATGTTTATCTCTGTTAACGTAGCAAAGCTTTGTGTGAGTGAGCATAGCCAGACTAAATAATATTATAGGTGGTGTTCTCACGGTCCCAGGATTGCCCGCGGGCCCAACTTGCACACTACAGTCCCTCCTGTGACTTCGCCCACGCCGCGGCAACGTGTATCGTACCGTAACGAACGGGGATAACGGGTGCGACGAGTGCCGACCCACGCCGAGCTACGAGAGACGTTAGAAGGGTCAGAGGTCACCTCGCGCTCGCTGACCGTCACCCAGGCATCCCCGGGACGGTTCCTGCCCCCACCACCCTTACCGGCATTGTTGGGCCCGAGCACCGTCTCGAAACTTTATGGGAACTAAGCGAGCCGCTGGGTGGGGACTAAGCGGACCCTTCAAGGCTCCCCCTGGCTTTATCGGTAATTTTTATTGGCTTGCTGTCATAATCATCGATTGCTTATTACGTAAGGCCCGAAAATTTCGGTAAGGCCCAGAAATGGCACAGTGATTCATTCTCAAATTACAGTGAATGTTTTGTGAGAAATAAATGTTACTACTAAATATTTAAGGCCCAAATTAGAGTAAGGCCCAAAAATGGGCCAGTAGTTAATTCAATCTAGTATTCTTTTTATTGAAATAAAAAACTTAAAAACATATGTAATAAATATATGTACCTACATAAGGCTCAAAATTTTGGTAAGGCCCAAAAATGAAAAGTGCGCAGTATTATAATTGATCCAATTTGTATAATAAAAGACATATTGAAAATTTGACTATTTAGTAACGCACAAATATGTAAAAGACTCCAAGATTTGCGTGAGATTTAAAGGGACCCGGTGGTTTAGCAGCCTAAAATTTAAGCTATTTTAAAAATTTTATTTCTATATCAAGGGAATGACTAATGCTTTCCAATTTTTTTTTACACTTACTCTATTACTTATCAACTACAGAAAAATGAAAATCAAAACAAAAAAAAAGTTTTTTTTTTAAATTAGAAAAATGGCGCTAAAGTCCCCCACTCAAAAAAAAATGGACCTGACTGGTGGAAGTAGATTGATCTCTCCCTCTGATCTGAAATTAAAAAATATGACTGATTTTTAATTAGTATAAGTATAGTTATCGTGCATACTAGAATGAAAAAAAAAAAATATTTGACAAAATGGCGCGTAGTTTAAAGTAAAAATCCGAAATTCGTTTTCAAAAAATATTTTTAACTATACGCGCCATTTTATAAACTATTTTTTTCTGAAGCAATGGCAAGAAAATAGTAGCAAGAATAACAATGTGTGTTGCTTAATAAATTTATTATAACTTGACTTAAATTAAAATTCGTTAAATGCCAGCAATTCTAATTGTTAAATTCAAAATTTTAATATTCTTGAATCAAGCGAATACTTTTTATTATAAAGATAATTATTTCTTGGCATTTAAAAAAATAAAGTACTTTTGATTAATTTTTTTTAAATTACAAAATTTCATGATATTTTAAATGTTCGCCCGCTAAATAATTATCCTCAAACAAGTAACCTTTAAATTTATACCTGTATCAAAATATAGAGCTACAGAAGGGTTACCCAGAAGACTGCTTGTTGACTTGGAACAAATGGGATTATTTTGAGGTACGATTGTTAATAATTGGGTTATATCTGGAGATCTCACTTGTTTAAAGTATGTTTATTGTAACTATTTGTCTTTCTCGGTATGTGGGCCCGGCACTCGGTCAATATGATCTGGTTCCTGGCAGTTCCCAGGGGGAGGCCTTGGTTCCTGCCGCGTAGATAATTAGATCGCTACTAACCACCTCATCGGACTGTTGTTGCTCTTTCTGACCACTCGTTTTTATTTTGTTTGACGCATCTTGCGCCTCACCGTGTGCAAGCATTTACAATCGCTTATTCCCTTTACACGCCTCAACAACACATTTCTTCATGCTGCTGACTGCCCCGGCTAAACAGATAAAAACCCGAATAAATATCTCGGGATACATAATACATAAACCGAGCAGAGGGTTTTAATCCATTAAAAAACTGCTTCATCCCGCTAAACCAATCCTTTAGAACCCCGACAGGGACACTCTTTGGATTGATTCATCCAATTAAACTTTAACAAATGGGTAAATTTACTTCTAATAAAATGTTCAGCTGCTCCAATAATTTCAAAAATTCTGATTGTTTTTCGGTATAATGATAACTTTCATATTTCTTCAGATTTCTTGTTTGAATATTGAAAAAAACACGTAATTAAAAGGCAATAATATCCTAAAATTTATTTTTTATTATATTTTTGCAAATAAAGATATGAGACCGATTACAACAAATAGATATTCAAAGACATCTATACCTAAAAAATAGGATTTGTAACAGATGAATGTTATTTGATGATAAAATCTAAAAATTAATTTATTCTTGATTTTTTATTAATTTTCCCAGCTACGAAATAAGTTGAAAAAAGTATCAAAAGTTGACAATGACGAATAATAGCTTAAATTGGAGGTAATTAAATGAAGCTTGAGATAAATATCGAAACAATTAAATACTTGAGATGAATTTAAAAAATGTTCGACAGAGAATGAACGTACAGTGACACCTGGAAGTGATTAACGGCATTACTATTCCATGCATGGCCATTAGGGTGCTTTTTTTCAACTTTTTTTTTCGGTCTCATAGCAAAATTTTGTTGCAAGTACTCAAGAAAAAATACCTTGAAAGTTTGGGCCCTTAATATTAATATTAAGACCTCGACCCAGGCGTTTAAAGATTTTCCCTTTAAAAAACACAGAAACTCTGATTTTTTATGTTTAAATTTCTATAGCTCAGTGGCATTTTATAGCATCACTTTGGCCATGGACGGGTTTTTTTCAGAATTGAATGCTCTACAAAAGAGTCCATTGCGGCCAAGCCGTAACTTGAACCGGCAAGGTAGTACAGGCTTCTAAACTTGATTTTTCTATGAAATTCGCGTTTTTTCGCATTTATCTCGTGAATAACAAGAGTTTCAGAAAAAATGTAAACGACAAACTTGTAGAAAATTCAATTTCCTACAAAAAAGGTTTGAAGGCCAAAGTCGCTAAAATCAAAATTTTCAGAGATATTTAATGATTAATTTTTAGTAATTTCGAATGCTTATCGAAAATTGCGTCAAATTATAAAAAATATCTTTTAAAAATATTATTAAATATCTCCGAAAATATTGATTTTAGCGACTTGGCGCTTCATACTTTTTTTGTAGGAAATTTAATTTTCTACAAGTTTGTCCTTTACATTTTTTCTGTAGCTCTTGTTACTCACGAGATAAATGCGAAAAAACGTGAATTGATGCTACAAAAAGCACACTGTTAAGCTAAAAATAATCGCTGAGCTTATCT